GCCCGGCCCTACCTGCCCAGCGCCCGCTGGTCCCCGCCGCTGCGCTGCCCGGCCCCGCTCGGCCCCGCACAGCCCGCGACTGCGATGGTGGCTCACACTTTGCACGTCACGGCGCGCGCAGGGGCAGGCGCCCGCGCAGCCTCCAGGGAAACACAGTTCGAGAGCCGGCAGCGCAGTGCGCATGCGCGGCTGTCCCGGAGCTGGGAGGTGGAGTCCGGTCTGCGTCGGGCTCGGGGGCGTGGCAGTTGCTGGCTCCGGGGATTCAGCTCTGGTACTCGCGCCCGCTCGCGACCCGCCGTTTGCAGAAACCACCGAGTTAAATCATCTCGGTCCTGTCCCGGGGCGGGGAGGGGGCGTAAAGGGCTGCCCATGCCAAACAGGTTCTTGTTACAGCGACTCTGAGGCGGCTCCTGGAGCTCTCAACCCCTGGCTTGTCCCCACATTAACTCCTGAAACTGACGTCAAGCTCTAAGGGTGGGAGGGTGGTTCCGGTTAGCGTTACACTAGAGTGCCTGCACCTTACACCCAGCACTCACACCGCTCGACAGATGCGTAGATCACAGCACAACATGTAGCAAGGCCTTTGCATGACATTGCACTTGATGGGATTCATGTTCATAAACCTTAAGGTACAAGTTTAGGTTGGGAATATATTGCCACACATTCATATTCTTCCCTCAATCCACTGTTTGCTCCATTAGTGTTACCCTGCAGATGAGCAGGATTACTAGAAATAATGCCTTCGTACACTGGACTACTTTCTTTGGATAGGGCCAGTCAATTGCCACTTGCAGACTGAGGCTACTACAGGAACATTAAATAAAAGTACTACATTCTCCATCAAAAAGGGATAGTCATAGTGCAGAGTATTCAAGACACTTTAGAATACGTGTGCACACACCTGCATGTGGGGTGGGCATTCCCTGTTGCATATACTGCCTGCAACAGGGAACCCCTGCCCTTGTTACTGGGAGGTCTTGAATACATTTTAAAAAAGGGCAGGGACCAGGTAACTAATGAGGCAATTAACTGCATCTGGCACTGGGGATGAAGAAAAGGGTCAGTCAGATGACTGGAAGGGACTAGGTTGAGAAATATAAACCCAATCCCTGAACTGGCATTGGTTAATCTAGCCTCGTAGTTGGCAGCTAGTGGAGGTGGGCTGATTAGTGTCCAAGTAGTTCCCAGAGATCCACAAAGAAGAGGCTAAGGGGAACTAGCACCATGCAAGGACGTATTAACCCAGAGCAGAGAGGTTTTTTGTTTCACAGCTGTTAGGCTGATGTTTATGTTTTGGCTAGATCTTTTGGAGGACTGGCTGTGGCTGTCAAGGGAAAAAGAGGCCACAAATGGGGGTGCTTCAGTGCTTCCCCCTGCAATGAGCCCCAGAGTTCAGGCCCTGAGATTGAGGGACAGATGATTGAGGTAAGGGTTGAAACTCAGAGACTGAGGCCTTAAACAGTAGGCCCAGGCAGAGGGTGTAGTTGTAGAGTAAAGGGGATGTGACTACTGACCCTAGGGATCTCTCCCCAACAACATTAAAATTGTGGCTGGTAAATGATGGGAGGCAAAGCAAGGTTGGGAAGGCACCAGCAAGTAGGGTAGACCCACATGGGTGCTACATGAATATCCCTTCCAAGCTATAAATACCCCTATGGTGATGGATGGTACTGCAGTTTGCTATGTTCTTGGCTTCTCCAAAATAAGTTACCTAAGCTACGGGGTTTTTGTACCCTGCTGCCCCTCCCAAATGAATGAAATTATAGTCTGTAATGGATTCATCATACAGCTTAGACTACCCTACAGCATCCATCTACTTGCTCATTCTAAACACTTTCTACTGAAATTAGATGAAGGGAGGATACCCAATCCATTAGACTAGTAGGGATATTGTATGAGTATCAAAAGTCATCATTTTGTACCAGCTTTAACTCATGCAGTTTATTTTTGAGCATCACATTACTTGTTTCAATAAACATATTTCCTTTTCCATTCTTGGAAGTTACACCGAAAGCCATTTAATTTGGCCATTGACTTGCCTACTTTTGACCATTAGACAGCAGCTTGCTTTGGAAACAGGACAGTTTCCTATGGGATTAGGAGAAATAAAGCACAACACCAAAGCAAGTCACATTGAACCACCAGAGCCAAATCATAGGAAGACTCTAAATCATTCCAGCAGTTTTTGTTCATATCCATTACTACTACAGCATGGCTGCTTCCATCGCAAGGACAGAAGCATGGTCTTGTGCCTTTTATAGAGCAAGAGATGAAGTCAAGAGTTCGATTCTAATTCAGCTTTGCCACTGACACTTGTAACTATTAGCAGGTGCCTTCAGTCTGTATCATCCCTCTTTCACATGCAAGGTATAACTAACACCCTCTTCAGGGAGAGAATGAGAATGAGTTGTCTGGCTCCTTAATAGTATGTACTCCTGGAAGTGCTGAGTCACCATTCAGACAGGGTTCTTTATGTAAATCTAATCTCTCTTATTAGACCAACTAAAATAGTTGGGAAAAAATGTTTTTGTCATCATCCAGGCTGTTGGAAGTTCCTTAAAAATGGCAGAGCTGAAAGTAAGTACTCACACAGTGGCTGTGATAGTAACAGGAATGGAAAGCAAAGTGTTGTAATGAACAGATAGAGGTAACAGATGGAATGCTCGGGTAGCTGAAATTTTCTACCATAAATGAAGAATGTTAAAGAGGCTGAATGAGAGTGATCAAAAAAAAGTGGAAAGGAAAAAAATATTTGGGGAATTTTTGTAATAAAGAGATGCTAACAGTCAACTTGTACAAGAATGAAATAAGGCAGAATCCTGGATCATGAGTAGGAAGAGAAAATTTGACAGAGAAAGAGGTTGCGATCAACCCTGGGAGTACTTCCAGAAATGACACCTTCCATGTGTATCCTCCACTTATAATAAAAATGGTTACAGAAGCTAGATCATACCTCTCAGACCTTCTCAAGAAGGTATGACAAGAAAAGTTTCTGTGCAAAATGACTTCCAACAAGGGTTGGCAACCTATTCCCAATGGGCCGGATGCAAGTTATGAAGAGACTTGATCCAGCCTGCAACAGCATGCTCCACTCAGTGCAGCAGAGAGGGCATTCCCCAAGTACTGCTGCCTATCTCGTTCTGTGTTTCCTCTGTAGTATTTGCAAATCACTGCAAATCTTTGCATCCTTCAATAGGGGCTGGGTTCAAACAGTGAAAGGTTGTCAGCCCCTCATCTACAGGATGATGCCAACTGTTGTTACTTGGGAAGCTGTGTTGTTTATCCAAAGGTGGGAACCACAGTCATGAAGGACTTCCTTTATCCAGACTTGAATGTGGGCCCAGTGAAGTCTTACTTTAACAGGATACTTGGGGTTCCTCACTCAGAGCTAGATGGTATGGGGCCACTTTCACCAACTGATGTATTCTCAAATAAGAGTAGTTTTTCTGCATACCTGTATGAGAATTGAATGTGGGCTTGAAATTCGTATGGGGCCTTGGGTCCAACAGAATTAAGTACCTTCTCACATATCTGGCACCAGGCAGAGTCACCAATGCCTAGGCCCTTTGGCTTGCACAGTTAGTTCAAAGACATGTTTAGGGTGATTTTAGAATTCATATTTCAGCAGTAGCTTAACTAAAGTAAAGTGGGAAAAAGGACAAACAGGGCACCAGATGCCAATGGAGGGGCAGCAAAGTACAAAAATAGCAGCCAGCACTGCCCGAGCTGGTACTGGCATTAGCAGTAGCAACCTAGCCACTGTCACCTAGGGTGCAGAACTGTCCAGCTACACCTCTATTTTTAGAGTAGAGGCTGCATTGCACTTCAGAGATTCAGTTATGGTACAGGACCTTGCCATCTGCAATGGAGATACTGTTTTCTTTCTGTACTTCATGCTCTCCTGCAGACATGCATAGAGAAAAAGGATTGATGGAGTCTAAGACAGGTAGAAAGCAATCCTAAACCTCTCTGGATTAAGCTGAAACTATTAGGATTTCATGCATCCTGAAGACCAGGGGGTAAAGAAAGCTGAAAAACTGCTCTTTCTGGCTTTTCTTCCTCTAGTTTTGCCTCACACTAGGGCAAGCACCAGTTAATATTAAATCAACAACCTCATGGTGAACTTTTTGCTCCAACATCATCCACTTTGACAGCGACATTTTTAGCCAGAGGCCCAGCCCAACATTAGCCCATCCAGTTTTTTTAATCCAATGCTTGCATTAGTTCTTCCAACCCTGTTGGTTAAACCAAATAATTTTATTTTTATTCAAGCATTAGTTGTCTTTGGTGCATGTCCATTTTGGGATGGGTCATCTCCTTGATAAATAAGAGACCCAAATACATTGATGTGGGATCACTGAAGACTACTGGATTCTTCAGCAAGACTTGATGCCAGTTGTTGCTAGAAGGTAGTGCTGTTACCTGCACCTTCTATTGCAGGGGTGGGCAAAATACAGCCTGTGGGCCGGACTCAGCCCACCAGGCCATTCTATCTGGCCTGCACGGCCCCTAAAAAAATTTAGAAAATTAATATTTATCTGTCCCTTGCTCCTGTCAAAGATGACAGGGGCTAAAGGAAGTAGGATCCAGGGGAAGCCCCAGCAGGTTCCTGCAACAGTAGGGCCTGCCCAGCCCCACCCTCCTCCTCCCAGCCAGAAGCCCCTACTTAGCAGCCCCCTCTCCCCATGAGGGTGTCCTGGTGCCACCCTTGGCAGGGCCCAGAGCAGGGCGGCAGGAGCTTAAGGTTCCCAGCACAGGCTCAGCTCCCACCTCTCCCTGGTGGCACAGGCCAGTCTATAGATCCCTGGCAACCCATGTCCCATGCTCCTCCATCCCACTCTGGGCCACACCAACACTGGCCCTAGGACATTGGTGCAGGCCCTGCACTCCCACTCCCTTCCACTTTCCTGCCCAGCCACCGCACACACATGCACACTTTAATTTTAAAAAGTATTACGGGTGTTTGATTTTTAGTATGCAATTTGGTCTCCCCCCCTCCCGATGGCAAACCCTCTTCCCCAAAGGATTACTTCCAGGAGCAAAGGTCAGAGGTTAGTGGGTAGGACTTCTGATCCCAAGTTGGCAACCAGGGGACAGGG